CCACTGCCAGCCCATCCTGACCTGCAGCCCAGCTCCTGACTTATCCCAGAGGTTTCATGCATCAAAAATCTCTGGGGCACTTTGGTCCAAGCAAAACTTGTCCACACAGGTGAGTTACAGAAAATAACAGGGCACATCTACCACTCTAACACCTTTAGATAAAATTCAGATGTTCGAGAGGCTTAAGGAATAAACAGTTGGTGGAAGAAAGGAACATTCAGGCAGACACAATTCAGATGAAACCACACTTAACTAAATAGCCAATGTGCACTAAAGGTCACRCTGATGAAAACAAAAACATGTAGTTTCGAGGAATTAGTTACTTGTTCAAAGTACTGTCATTTTCACCTCTTGGAAGCCGAGTAATTAACTACATCTAGTTGCTTGCACGATATTTCAAAGCCAGTTTTCCTTTCATTATATAACTCACACACACGGAGTTACAACATGTTTGACACAATGTTCTTTTGCTGTAAAGTAAATTCAAACAACTTAAAAGAACTCATTTAAGTAATTTGCAACTTTCTCTTCAGACCTGTAAAGTCTCACTCCCATCTAACAGCACAGATCTCAGTTTTAGGAGGGCAAACACTAAGGAAAAAAAGTCCATGTGGCTCTTTCACCTACAAATTTCCAACCTACAAACCCTACAGTGCCATGCTAAAGGAGATAATGTGTCATATCATCCATCCCCACTTGAAACAGCTCCCCCAGAACACCTCAAAAAACCCAGCAGAGTATAACAAATAATACACGGGGAACCACTGCCACTGTCCACACAGACAGCCCTTGTCCAAGATGATCTTAGTGAAACAAAGTGGGGAAATTTTGCAAACCATTTTGCCATGGTTAAGTACATCTGTGCTTGAAGGATCCAAGTCCACCTCTACACCCCGGGACTACAAGGTCTCCTCATCACAGCAAGTTTTGTGTCTCCACAAAGCTACAGGGCAGTCCATAGCATCATGGCCCTGTTAAGTATTTTTTTTTTTCCATCAATCTTCTTTTCCTGCTGGAAAAGCAGTGATTTCCCTTGTGCAAAACATGGTGACACGGTAACAGTGCATGGATGTGCTTCAGAGCATGGGGCTCTGCAGAAACACCGCCAAGAGAATGGTGATGGATAGATGGATGGATGGATGGTGGGTGGGGGAACAATTTTTGAGGAAAAGAAATATTTTAATGTGGCTTAATGCAGGACCAGGACGTTCAGCATTGAGATGGTTCTGTGGAAAGGCAGTGGTTGTGGATCAGAGTGAGCACTTCACCTTTTTCACCCTCCTACTGCCCAACTCAACGACCCTTTGAGCGCTGCTATGGACCACAGCACCCAGGGAAAACCTGCCCGAAGAGAAATGAGCAGAGAAATCTGCTCACCCGCAGAGCAGAGCAGAGCAGAGCAG